AATTCAAGGTGGCAAACATATCTAATACTCTTGCCACCTATATTCCCCACTGTATCTCTGTGATGTTGTTTGGGCTGAGAGAAAGTAACCAGCTCCAAATCACCCAGTCAGTTTTCATGTATAAAGCATAATTAGAATTCATAGTCTCCTAGGTTTCTAGGTCAGCACCTTAGCCACTACACCAAACTGTCTCATACTGCAACTTTATGTGTGAACAAGTTAATAGCAGAACATCCAGCACTGGCACCTGAGCTTTTATTTTTCCAACACACTATTTTTTCTTTTTATATCATCTGTTTAGATTATAATATAAAGAAAAGGATACTTTTATTTATTTATATCTTTTATTTATCAATAAGCTTACCTGGGAGCCTTTACAAATGAAAAGCAGAGTGTAAATGTTTGTATAAATCAGTGATTCTCAACCTTTCTAATGCTGTGACCCCATAATACAGTTCCCCATGTTGTGGTGACCCCCAAGTGGGTGTGGCCACCAATAAGAGGGAGTAGGACAGCTAGGGAAAAGGGAAAAAATGGCGGACAGCATGGTTTGGTGACCCTGGTGAAATGGTCATTCGACCCTAAATGGGGTCCCGACCCACAAGTTGAGAACCACTGGTATAAATGATCAGGAATATGGATGGAGAGAACAGTTTCTATTTAACATAAACCAGCTTAACTTGATTAATACACAAATTAGGATGCAATATTTTTCAATTTCTTTAATCACACACTATGGGCAAATGCTTGCAAGAGCACTGAAAAAAGTGACTTATGATCAGTACTTGCACTTATAACCACTGCACCATCCCCATGGTCACACGATCAAAATTTGAGAGCTTGGCAACTGGTACACATTTACGACATGATCCTGAGATCATGTGATTGCCATTTGCAACCTTTTCAGCCAGAAAATCAAAGTCAATGGGGGAAATCTGATTCACTTAACTACATGATACTCTTAACAACTCCAATGATTCACTTAACAACCTTAGTAAGAAAGCTTGTAAAGTGAGGCACGACTCACTTAACAACTACCTTGTTCAACAAGGGAAATTCTGATCGCAATTGTCATAAATCAAGGACTATCTGTAATTGTATCCCTGTTTTCCTTAATGAAGGAAAGTGACATCAGATGGACTGGCTTAAGTCAAGCAACTACAGCCTAAATCTAAGTAACTATGACCCAACTTTCCAAATATCCAATCCGAATCACATATGGCTTTGCAGATAATAGCAACCCTATTGAGTAGAGTCAGCAAGGACATAGCAGGCTATCAGTTATTAGTCTCAACCAACAGTTTGGCTGCAGCACTCAATGAAGATTAAGTTGATATTTTTTGTTGGGGGGGGCATTTTGAATCAATTTTGACTCTTGCCAACTTCCTGGACAAGTCCCTGCAGTTTTCCTGGCAAGATTTCAGAAGTGTCTTACCACTGCTTCCTTCCCAGGATTGAGAGAGAGGGGTTAGCCCAAAGTCACTCAGCTGGCTTCGCACTTAAAAGTTGGATTAGAATTCACAGTCCGATGGTTGTCTTAACTACTATACCAAATTGGCTAAGTGAAATTTATCTCTAAAGATAGGATGTTACAGCATCCTATGTATTTTATTCGATGGAAGGGAGAAGGCTTAAGAATACTATTTTAGTTCTGTATTTCTCAGGGATAATGCATATGAAATTTTAAAAGTTCTTTATGATAGAAAAAGAACAGATTTTAGAATTTTAAGATTTAGAAATTTAATTTTAAATAATTTAAAGTTATGAAATTTTAAAAGTCCTTGTCTACTCCAGAAAAATAATAGGAAGACAACAGATTTCAGAATTTTAAGATTTAGAAATTTAATTTTAAGTAATTACAAATGTTCTACTTGCCTTGATTCTGTCACAATGTTCTCACTGATCAGATTGTTATAAATCTACACAACTGAACAGCTCACAATTCTGTAGGCATTTAGGTCCTTACTGAAGCACAAATGATACAGGGGCAAGTCATATGGGCAACATCTATCTCAAATGACCACATGACCATTGCAACATGGCAGGTGATTTTAATAAAGCAACCTAGTCTTGGGGCTGCATATTCTAAGAATATTGACTGCACAGTCAAACTAATAAACATTTGGTGACAGCTGAACCTCCCACTCGTTTCTATTCAGCATCCATTCTCAGTTTTAATCATTAAAGTTTAAATTCTAAAGATATTGTGGGGAAAAACGTCTCTCTTTTATTTATAGGTAGTTCTCAACTTACGACCATAAATGAGTCCAGAATTTCTGTTGTTAAGCAAGAAAGTTGTTAAGTGAATCCTGCCAAGTTTTGCAACTTTTGCCACAATTGTTAAGCAAATCACAGGAGTTGTTAAGTGAGTCGCGCAGTCGTTAAGCAAATCCGGCTTCCTCTATCAACTTTCCTCGTTGGAAGCCAGCTGGGAAGGCCACAAGTCGTGATCACATGACCCCAGGTATGCTGCGATCATTGTAAATACATGCTGGCTGGCCAAGAGCCCAAATTTTGATCACATGAGTGTTGGGGGTTGCTGTGATCGGTTCTAAGTGCGAGGCCCAAATGTCCCTTTTTTCGGTGCCATTGTAACTTTGAACGGTCATTAAATGAATGGTTATAAATTGAGGACTATCTGTAATTTCTGAGTCAATGCTACCCACTCATTTTAGAGTTGGTAAAAAGATACATTAGCATGAATTGTGCTTTATTCATTTGCTTATTTACTTATTAAATAGTCAAAACCAGTTTAAGAGTTAAAAAGTCAGTAAAATTATACTAGACACAATAAAAGAAATCATAGATGGCTGCATTTAGACAGCAAAACCAATGGGAAGTGGATAAAACCGTCTTAGCAGAAAATGAAGAGCATTATGGAGTGTCAAGTGTGAAAGAGCCTGGAATAAGACAGTGAAGAAATGTAATGAGTGGATGAAAAAGCAAAACCCAGTTGGTTGTAGAGAGTAAGTTTGGTCTGGTGGTGAAGAGATCAGTTAGAAAACTGGGAATCTGTGAGTTCTAGTTCCACCTTAGGCACAGATGGATGACCTTGGGCCAGTCCCTCCCTCTCAGCCCTAGGAAGGAGATAATGGCAAACTATGTGTGGAAAAAAAACTTGTTAATATACAGACATCTACTTGTATAAAACCCAGCCCAAGCACAAAGTGGAGATCAAAGCATCCATACTACTATTATTGATGGACAGCATGAGTTACCTTAAGAACAAGGTCAGAGTAGAAGAGCAGAAACACACAACCATCTCTTGGGCCTATTGCAATCAACTTAACAGCCGAAACTAAAACTTTTTCCAAAAACATTCTTAGAGGAAGAGATCAAACATGGTGGGGGTGGAGAAATAAGAATATAAAAGAACTCTAGATTCAAAGCAGAGAATAGTATCATATGCCTCATACATTCACTATCAATTCTGCAGGAGCCGATTGAAATCTAAGCATGATCAGAGATTTTAAATGTCAAATAAAATTTCCTGTATATTATCATTAATTTATATTTATCTGAAATTTCTCAGAGAGAATTAAAAATGCATGCAGAAGAACAAAGACTAGTCCAAAAATTCTTTTTGGTGTTTTTATTCCTCCTCCTTCCCCCCTCCTATTAATTATATATTTGATAGAAAATCAAATATTTGAGTCACATAAATATCAAACAAAACTGGCATTATTCAACTGCCAGTTTTTATGCCCAAGATGTTTGAATAAAGGGTGTGGTTTATAATGGAGTTTATATGATGAAAGGTGTTCAGATAAACTTTTATCATGGTGAATGGACTTATGAGCCTTTTTAAAATCAAGAACATAGTATGTTCTCTCTCAATATTATCATCCTCCAAGTCCTTGGTGATCATAATAAAGATTACAATGGTAGCTGATCTACTTAATTCCTATTTATGGTATTCTTCAATCTCTCTCCCTCTCTCCCTCTCTCTCTCTCTCTGTGTGTGTGTAACAGTTGTGTAACCTGATGTAGGGGTTCTGGGTTTGTCCTTGGAACTCCTATATATGTAGACATTCATTTTACCTGTTTTTTTAAATGGAAACTACTAAACAGGTGAGGGACTCTCCCTTGAGTCAAGTTCAACACAAGACCACTTGGTAACAATATGCAAGTAGTAGTTTATCACTGCCTACTTCCAGGGTTATTTTTGACTTCCCAGCCCAATCCACAACCTTGGTATTTCCCAATAGTTCCACATCAAAGTACTATCCTGGTCCAACCCTGTTTAATTTCCAAAACCCAGATAAGGACTTCAGGTGCTGCTGAAGTTACAGTTCAGAGTCAAAGGAAGTCAGTCAAGGCAGCAACAGTACATGCTTAGCTGAGAGAATTAATGGAACTCACCTCTGAATGAATAGCACTACAAATCAATTACTAAAACCTTACTAAAGCTGCTGAATTTTTAGCATTGGCATTGCAAACTGATCACCAACACTATGTGCAGCGTACTTAACTTTGTCTCAATACAAAAAGCAACAGCCAACTGTTACTGTATGTAGAAAACCACTGCAAATTGTGAGTGCATCTGCCCTTAAAAGAGAATTCATTCTTTATGCTTCTATTTAATTCTGATGCAACTGCCAATCTAGATTTTGTGAACAAATATTTTGTACATAAATAGCTCATGCCTATCTATCTATCTATCTATCTATCTATCTATCTATCTATCTATCTATCTATCTATCTATCTATCTATCTACCTACCTCTATTCACCTTAATGACATGCAAACCCACTACAACTCCATCGATGCACGGCCAAAGACAGAGACCATTTGCTCTTTACAAAGCAATGAAGCCAATGCAAAAAAACCGAAAGGACAAACTCAGCACAACTTTACCAGGGCGCATTTTAAAAGGGGGGGGAAGGGGGCGAGGTGAGAAAAAGCCATCAGTCCAGCTCTTGCGAGGGAATGCGGAGCAACCCTTAAGGCTCTGGATTCAGACATAAGAAGCGAGAAAAACAAACCGAAGTAAGACTTACTGCAATAGCTTGCAGCCTTTCCTTGTGCAATTCAGCCTCCGCCATCCTGGGCGCGCGGAGGATGCAGCAAAACCGCAGAGACCCGGCAGGCACCGAGGGAATTGCGCTTTCGAGTTATTGAACGCCGCGGAGTGGGGGGGGAAAAAAGTCAAGGCGGGTGGATTCTGGTCGCAAAAAGCCACCACAGCTCGGGAAGTCAGCGCATATTTCAGACCGGCCTGGTGCCTTGCCTGCTTCCCAGCTGCAGGGCTGCTGTTAGCTATATTTCATCGCTGCGTCTGGGCGCCGCCACTGCTCCTGTCACACTCTACAGCATTGCCATCCCAACGCAGCGCGGTCCAGGGGGCGGCTCGCAGGGCTGCAATCTTTTATTAATTTTTTTTCCCCACCTCCTTTCTCGCCTCTCCGCCTTGACGTTTCATAGCGTTAGCTCCTCCTCTGGAGCGCTCGCTCACACACCAAAGGAGGCTGGGCATCGGCGGCATCTGTAGTAAGCAGAACCTGCTCGAAAAGACGCGGGCGGGAGGGCGCCGGGGGAGAGGCGCGGCGACGGCGCAGCCCGACCGCGGGGAGCCCAGAAGAGGGGATTTCCCCGCCTGACTGCCGGGGCGCCGCTATCAGCGCGGGGCTTGCTGAGGGAAAAAGGAGAATGAAGCGCTGCCCCGGAGCTTCCCGGCGTCGGGAGCCCGGCCCCGGCACGCTCCTCTGCGGCTCTCTGCCCTTTGCATTGTGTTTACGGTAAAGGGGGCGAATCTGTGGGGAAAGTACGGGCAGTCCTCGACTTACGACCACCATTGAGCCCAAAATGCCTGTTGTTAAGTGAGACATTTGTTAAGTGAGTTTGGCTCCCATTTTACGACCTTGCATGCCTCAGTTGCTAAGGGAATCGCTGAAGTGGACAAGATAGTAACCGAGTTGTTAAGTGAATCTTGCTTCCCCATTGACTTTGCGGTTGTTAAGTGAATCTCACTTCCCCATTGATAAGGTGACCAATCATCCTCCTTTAGGGAGGACAGTCCTTCTTTTGTATTCATTTAACTAATAATAGTCATGTAAGCATAATTACAATATAAAATGTTATTGTTACAAATGTTTTTTATTATGCATTTATCATATTATAGTGTATTCTGTATTGTTGCAATGAATAAAATGTTTTATTTACGATATTTTTTTCTTCAATTTATTTGTGTCCTCTTTCTCATTGTAAAAAAGTTGGGTCACCTTACCATTGACTTTGCTTGCCAGAAATTTGCAAAAGGGGATCACATGACCTCAGGATACAGCAAGGGTCACAAATATGAACCAGTTGCCAAACATCTGAATTTTGATGGTGCAAAGATCATAACTCTGAAAGATTGAATTTGGCTTCCCCATTGTCAGAAGGTTGCAAAAGGTGACCCTAGGACATGGCAACCATCATAAATGTGAGTCAGTTGTCAAACATCCTAAATCATGTGACCATGAGGATGCTAAAATGATCATAAGTGTGAAAAATGGTCGTAAGTCCCTTTTTTCAGTGCCGTTGTGACTTTGAACGGTCACTAAACGAACTGTGGTAAATCAAGGACTACCTGTATACTTGAGCAAGGGAAGGCTCTTACCTTCCCCTCCTGGCTTAGTGCATCCAGTGGTTTGTTCCGCACGACTTTTTACCTGTAGGGAAAGGATTACAAGGAGGCCATTACTTCCCCTGTAATATTTCATTTTGTTTTTAAAAAAATGCTCCTTGGGGAAGGTACTCTTGCACTGGGAAAGGCATAGAGGAGAACTGTGAAGGAGTCTTCCCAGCCCTGCCGTTGTTTCCCAACATTTCCTCCTCTTAAGTGGGCTCTTGTCTTAACTCAACTCTCAGAGAAAAATAAAAATGGAAAAATTGGTAGGCTTTCAACGCCTCCAGTTCTCTTCATCAGGCAAGACATTGTAAAAGATAAGCGGTGTAGGAGAGGAAGTGAGGAAAAGATGCGGTGTCGGTGTCGGAGTGCGGAGAAATTCGTTTGATGCTCCGGACACGTATTGAACTTCGTGACTTGCTGAACTGGATCTTGGTAAAGGCTTCTAATAAGAAAATATACTGGCAGGGAAAAACTTCTTCTACAGCAGCCCGGATGAATTTCTATAATTCAGCTAATCAGAGTGAGATCGTGCATTGGTGGGACCATTCAGGCAATCTGTGCCATTGGAAGTCGGTTTGGTTGGACAGCTATTCCGTGGCTGGTTTTGCACAATGGGCTTAACCAGGACCAGTGAAGACCCATTGGCTGCATTTCAACTTACATGACAAGCTTGGTTAGCTTTATGCAGTGGTGGGATTCAGCCAGTTCGCACCACTTCGGCAGAACCGGTAACCAATTTTTTTTTGCCCAGGCCCAGAATGGACTTCCGGCATCCACACAGAGAACCAGTTGTTCACATATTTGAATCCCACCATTGGCTTTATGCTTGACCTAGTGTATTATGAGAGCTAGCTTAACTCTAGAAAAAAGGGTGAATTTAGCAAATATCACATATACACATGTTTATGCAGGAACAGTATAATGATTTTTTAATGCCTTCAAGTCAATGTTGACTCCTGCAGACTACCTGGACTTCTGCAAAATTTCAGAAGTGGGTTGTCATTGCCTTCTTCCTGGGATTGAGAGAGAGAGGGATTGACCCCAAATCACTCAGCTGGCTCCAGGCCAAAGGCAGACTTCAAACACTTGTAGCCTAGTGCAGGGCTTTTCAACCTTTTCACCGACTGTACCACTTTTAGGATATGGCAATATCCGAGTACCACCTAGCAGGGTGTCAAAAACTTGATGACCAACCCCCCCCCAAAAAACCCTGTTCAAAGTTGCAATTGCACTGAAATGACTTACGACCATTGTAGCATGCCCAGGGTCATGTGATTTATATTTGGATGCTTGGCAACTGATTCATATTTATGATGGTCACACTGTCCCAGGGTCATGTGATCCCTTTTGCAACCTTTTGACAAGCAAAAACTTGATGACCCCAGTCAAAAACTTGATGACCCCCCTCAAAAAAGGAAAAAAGTGATAAAGTACAGGTAGTCCTCGACTTACCCCTGCAGCTCCTGAGGACTCTCTCACGGCAAGTCCTGCACTGCTCTTTGGCTCGTTCCCTCACCCGCTACACTTGGCTAGACTGGACAGGGCCACGTACCACCTGCCAGGTGCCAGTGTACCACGGGTGGTACCTGTACCACTGGTTGAAAAGTCCTGGCCTAGTGTCTTAACTGCTAGGCTAAACTGACACTATAACCAGTTGATGTATAAAAAATCAAAACCAGAAGTTTCAGATAGACATCCATTTTGGAAAATTAGCTTAGTATCTTTTAAAGCAAATATCTGCATATTTAAAGCAGTAATTGATGGGAACATCTGATCGTTTTATTTTCTAAGACTGAATCCTAATCACTATAAACTGAACTGTCCACTGCTTCCCAATACCCTAATTTGCATATGTGAATAACATCAAACAATGAGATAGACATTAAACTTCATGTTAAATTGTTTGTGATAAAATTTAATTTAAATATTAAGTACATATTGTTCAACTAGATATTGTACAATATGTTAAGTATTTCGTTTGAATTATTTCTCAGCTGGAAGAGATACGTTCCAATATGGGGCAAGCTAAATTGGATCCATACATTTCCATACCAGCCTGCTGATATGTAGTCAGGATGAATTGAAACTACCTCACAAGCCAAGGCAGATGCCCCATTCCAGCTAGAAAGATCTGCAGATGTTGCTGATTGAGATGAATTTTTCTGATAAAAACTTGCTCTCATTTCTAGAATATGCTGCAGACTTGTCTGTGGAGATTCTCAGTCATTCAGGTCATAGTTATCCCAAAAGTGCTTTTTCAAGAGGCAACTGGACTTTCTTCTTTTTCCTTTGAAGACATTTTGCTTCTCATCCAAGTACCTGAGTACTGCAAATGTGTGTGGAGCCTTTGGAACTGCTGACAGAACTGTGTTGTAGACTGGAGATGGATGATGTTGTATCCTTCCCCCTCTGTTGAGAGAAGGCTGTTCAATATTCACAGATGGCCTCTTTGACCCCTCTTTCAAACCAGCGGTCCTCTCTGTCCAAAATGTGGACTTTTGCTGTCTTCAAAAGAGTGGTCTTTGTTGTTTAAATGCAGATGGATTTTTGAATCTTGTCCTGTTGGGTTTGTTCTCCTATGTTGTGCCATGCATTTATGAAGTGGTTGTTTGGGGGAGTCAGTCAAAGAAGAAGAAGTTTCTTGGATGAGAAGTGAAACGTCTTCAAAGAAAAACAAGAAAGTCCAGTTGCTGCTTGAAAAAGCACCTTTGGGACATGTTGCAGAGTTGAGCAATAATACACTTTCTTCACACATCTTTTGACATGAATGATATAAATCCTTGGCTGTGGTTCCATATCCTTGGCGATCAGGCTTATATATGACTGACTGGAGTAGGATCAACTTCAAATAATGTATCTCATATCAACATTTATACTCCCTTCATAAAAGATATAAATATTACATACTATAGGAAATAATGAGCAACTTGCTGAACAACAATTTGAAATAGCTTAAAATGGGATCTACTTGAGATCTTCAACATCCAGCTGAAAAAACAACATTTTACTAATAAGCATAAGATAGGACTTTTTACAGCTTAGGGAATTTTATATTTTAACTAAACTAAACAAACTACACTGGAAGATCCATTATACAACTGATACTTGAAACAATGATACAGAAAACATTCTATTTTCATGCCAGAGAGCCTGTTTAGACCAGGGATAAAATTAGAAATGTTTTAGTAGCTACAATTTTATATACCCTTCATCAACTAACAGGCAACCTGACTTGGAAGGCTAGTGAATGAATATTCGGTAAAGAAAAATACTGTATGTGCCTCCAAGTTCCACGTTCCTTAATGATGATCCAGTCCTATGTCACTGTTAAAGATTGTTTAACTAGAAACATAGACAGCAGGGTTGTCTGAATGAAAGTCTTGGCTTGGAACCAAATTAATACAAAAGTAATTTAAACAATTTTACCAGAATAAAAAAAATTAATCCTATCTTTGACTGTACTTCCCTTGAAGTTATGTTCCAACTATTAGAAACTCCCAAAAGAGTCTTGAGTGACAGTAGGAGAAAATAACTGTAACAATGGAAGGGAGAAGAGTTAGCAACCTTCAGCCTGATTCATGAGAGGAGAAACTGCTGGGAAAGATTATTAGCAACATCTAGAAGGACATATGTTTCCCATCCTTATTGTATCTAGCTTGGTAAGAAGAAAACCTACTGAAAGAAAATGCGAAAGTTGACCACATGAAAAGTATTTTTAAACACACTAGCATTGCTTTCTTTATATTATTTCAAGGCAGTCTTCCTAGACTGTCAATGCAGATGAGTTAA